AATGAAATGTCATTAGTTGTATTTATGTAGTGTTGCTGTAAATATTAAAAAAAATTAATTATGGTATGGAACCGAACCGAACCGAACCGAACCGAACCCGAACGGTTCCATAATTATATTTGGACCCGACGGTTCCATTTATTAAATACTCGAAAATTTTGGATCGATTCGATTCTGAAAATAACCGAACCGGACCATATCCAGCCCTAACAACACAAGAAAAAATCATGGACACAACTCTGTCAAGTCAATGAGATATGAATAAAATATCAAATAAACTTTTATTATGAAAAAGTCGTGCTCGTCCCTCCACTCGATTGAGTCGAGTTGACATTGTACAAATGTTTGTCATTTTTTTTTATTCTTCAACTATCATCTCTTTCAACTTTGTATTGTTCACACACGAAAACTCGTAAATCAAACACGAAAATCCATCTCTTCTCTGTATTTCCAGGTCCTTGATTACTTCATATTCATAATACATTTCTCTTGCAGGACACGGATGTATTATGGCTGAGGAATCCATTTTCAAGACTACGCATGAACAAAAACATAGATTTTCAAATAAGCACAGATTGGTTCAATGGCAAAGCATCCTCAGAAAATAACCCAATCAACACAGGTTTCTACTTCATCAGATCAAACAACAAGACGATATCATTATTCGAAAAATGGTACGGTATGAGGGATAACTCGACAGGCCTAAAAGAGCAAGATGTTTTAGCGAACTTGGTAAGAGGAGGAGTGCTAAATGAATTAAGCCTTAACGCAAGATTTCTCAATACCCTCTATTTCAGTGGGTTCTGCAGAGATAGCAGTGATATTACGGCAGTGGCAACCGTCCACGCCAATTGCTGCCGGAGTATTGCAGCCAAGGTGGTGGATCTGAAGGCAGTTTTGAGGGATTGGAAAGGGTTCAAGGGCAATGCAACTGCTAGTAATTCTAGCACAAAAAACTTTCAATGGTCAAGCCATGCTGCTTGTAGGAATTCATGGGGCAAGTGAGAAATAGGACTTTGGGTGGGGGAAATTATAGCATTTTTTCTATATGTATTGTTAGACGTTCTTTAGTAGCCATATGTAATTTTTAAGAGAATAGTGAAGGAAGAGGTTGAAAAGGAAGTATCCAAGACCACAGACATGAAGGCCGAAGTCTTCGATCCATATGATCTTAATATTTGAACCAGAAACACAAAACTGAATGCCTTCGAAAACTATAGAATTGAAACAGACATGGAAGATATTGGCAGCTCTATGTGACCTGAAGAAGAAGGCAGAACATTGCCGATTGCTTCAGTTTAGATCAAAAGATGATAAAGCATTAGAAAATAAATGTTGGCTCCTATTTTCATTGTGCACAAATAGGTTGACAGTTGAATAAATGAACAAAAAAATCATGAGAGTTGTGACGTGTGTCCTAAGTGCACCCTGAATCTGACAAATCGAAATGCATTAGCATTCACTTTTCCTCACATTCTGATGACTGTGCTATGGCTCAAGCAGAGTGTAAAAATGTGATTTATGCAAAACTTTGTGCAGGAGTGGATGAGGTTCTGTTGACATGGGATCAAGTTCTCTCTAGAAATACTTTTATACTAACAGAAAACTATGCATAATGCACGGAAGTGAAATAATAATGAATGAAAAGAATTGAGAATGATAAATTATAGTTACGGCCCATGAATTCAGAACTATTTACATCACCAAACGCATTAAGTTCATGCCTGAATTCCCTGCTGCCCCGACTCAGTTATACTGGCTACCCTAAAGAAACCACTGGAAATGACATATTAAGAGTGAGGAGGTTGCGTTTGAGGTGGTAGAAACGTTAATTTGAAGCAATTGATCAATGAGGAGAGAAAATTTTCAAACTTCATCTTAGAAGTACCTGGACTTTATACTTGAAAAACAGAAGAGCAGAATTTTGCTACATAAGATACT